AGTCAAATTGATAAAATAAATGAAATATTACCATGTGGGTGTCAAACTAAAGAGTTTTAAGAAGGCTTACAGCCGAAAATATGTTTGAAGAGGGTTACCACCTGTTTGAAAATTTAACTTAAGTACATCTAAAAAATAAATGAAATATTAGAATATGGGTATCAAATTAAAGAGGCTTGAGAAAGGTAACTGTTGGAAATATTCTTGAGAAGGGTTGCCACCAATTTTAAAATTTTAACTCAGTTAAATTGATAAAGTAAATGAAATATTGCTATGTGGGTATCAAACTAAAGAGTTTTAAGAAGGCTTAAAGTCAAAAATATTTTAAAGGAGGCAAATTTTGCCCCATATTCTAATTACCTTAAAGGAGCATTTTTTGTGTATATGTATCCGTAAGTTTCTCGGCAACGGCTCTAACGTAGCAAAATGAAAAATCGTGTAAAAAAGACTTTCGAAGTTGTATAGCTTCCAATTGTCAAAAACTTTTCATTTGTCACGGGGAAAATACCGTAAAAATTATTTGTATCGTGCGAATATCTAGTTCTTGCAGAAGCAATGAGCTTAGCCGACCACGCTTTAAAGGAATTTGAAGAAATGCGACCAGATGCAGAAAAAACTTTCATTTGCTTTTCGAACACGTAGAAGAAGTATGCACCAACCTAGGTACAGAAATCAAGGTACCGCGATACAGCAGTCGCCAAAAGAATCGCTTTAATGTGAAAACCGGAGACGCCGAGGCATACTATAACATTGTTTTTTACATTCCCTTCCTTGATACTGGTCATTTGAAAAGCCGGTTCCTAAAAATAATTTTAGTGTTTTATTTCCAAAGTATGATTTTAACGAAAAAAAAACTGAAGAATTGTTTGCTTTCTATGAAAAAGTAATCGACTGCTCGAAACAAAACTTTCTTCTGGAGGTAAAAATGCGGAAAAAACGAGTTTCACACGAACATTTTNAGTTTCACACGAACATTTTCGAAATGCTCTCGAAGCATTACAAGTAGCTAATACAACGTCTTTTGGGAATGTTTTTAAGATCTTACGTATATTGGGACTTTTGCCCGTTTCAATGGCCACACCTGAACGAAGCTTTTCATGCCTGAACAGAATTAAAACCTACTTGAGAAATACAACATGTCAAGAAAGACTCAACA